AAGTTTATGGCACTACTCTTTTATTTGTATAGTATTCTTTGTAAACTGCTAAATATTTTTGATAGTTTTTATTTTGGCTAGATTAAGTTCTGAATGACAGGTAGCTTCTTAAAGTTACCTTTAGTAGTCCAAACATTAGTAGCCTTGTTGAGTGAAAAAGCTAATTTGATACTCTGTAGTTAATCTTCCATCCTTCTGTAACTCTTTGTATTCAAACTTGCAACATTATGATCAGACACGTGACACAAGACAATCCTCAGACAAATCTATTGTTTAGCTTGAGAAGGCTTAGAATACAATGCACAAGTAACGTGGATTACTTTCATGACAACTATGTAGTCCTACTATGTACTCCTCCTTTAGTGTGCCATAGAAGAAATATAGTCATATAAATTTGGAACAACATCAGTGTAAGTAAATCAACATAATTCCACAGAAGATGCCATGATGCTGTTGATAAGGAGTAAAAGTGACGTCAAAAAGGAAACAAAGATGCTTTTGCATATAGTTTCAATAAACCTCTTTAGACTTTTATAGTTCAAGGATGATTTTATGTGTATAGTCAAGAAGTCAAAACAAATCAGAATAATTTGAGATAGATTTCTATTTTAAAGCTTAAATGTGTATTTTTTTCTCTGTTAAAATACTTTCTCCCATTCCAGCTTCAATACAAGTAGGATATTCGTAGGTCAACCAGCCTAACATTGGCAAGTTTTGGGCGGGACTATTTGCTTGTCCGGCCAATGACAGACGAGGAAGTGTTTGGAAACCAGTTTTTTTTTTTGCATTTCCATTTATAGATTTTTCTAGTTTTGCCTACCACCCCACTTCACACATATAATTATAGTCACATTCATATTGACAATCACACATGCTTGGTTTCTTTTATTATTATAATGATTGTGGGGGTAAATGAGTCACATTGCACTACCTTGATGAATCAATACAAACATTCCTGATAACAAAATGGCATTAAACAGGCAAATGAAAATGAAGAATCTGTCATAACTTGTTTACTCGTTTATTTTTAGATCGAGGGCAGATTTGTAAAGGATCATAGGATTTGCATGCTAAATTATCAGGCATGGGCCTGTTTCTCATACAAAAGCTTGAAAACTGTTGCTTCACTCAAAATGTCAGTTAAAACAGAAGTCTATTGGTTTCTACGCTTCAGTTAAATCAAATGGACAACCCATTAGACTCATGCAGCACCTGCAGCACCTGCTCCAGTCAATTACAATTTAAAGCAAAAAAAACTCAAATCTAATTTGGAAGAGACAGCATGTAGACACGCAGTCCGATGTTGATTCACTGACAGGAAACGAAGCATCAGACGCTGTTGAGTGATTATCTCTGTCTGGATGTTTTGAATGGGAGGCCTATGGACCCTCTCAGCATTCAGTCTTTGTGTTGTACAAGTTCATTTCTATTGTGCGTATGTCGAATGCTGTTTGTGAGTGCAAAAGTGTAGTTGGCAATTACAGCTAAGAGACAGATAGATTTTTCTGAGTTACTAATCAATGTCTGGAGAACAAGAGCAGAGTTTAAAATGTGTACGGTAATGTGTATGCTTCTGCAGATCGTAATGTCAGAAACATCTGTTTAGATTGAATTTGTGTGCCATCTTTTGAAATATTTTCATACTTTCAATTTGCATGCGAGTTGCAAAACGTGTGGAGATAAAACATGTACTTCCCAGGGACATAACACTCAACTTTTACTAAATTAGTATTCCTTGGTAGGAGGTATCTATCGGGCAACTAAGGACACGTTGCTAATTTGCTCAGGGTAAAACTTGCTGGCAAACACAATAAATAATACTTCCCTATGCACTAAGAACCTAATGTGAAAGTAAAACAAACCAAAACTAGGATAAATTCGGAGGATCGGATCTCTTTAGACAAACACATAGCATCTTATTTGCTATTCAAATTACATCTCATTTGAAGTGTACTTTATCAGAATGAGCATGTGCCTGCAGGGTTAAAAGCTGTCTAATTTTTACTGTCATGGTAAAGTTTAGCTGTAGAGCTCCCATATAAATCACCATCACTGATTAAAGCTGAATTGTCATATCTGAGTCAGTAGCTTTTCCAAAGACAATGGGAAAAATAATAAGGGTGAAGGGTTTGATGAACAGTCCCTGCCTCGTCTGTCATGTAAAATAAAAAATGTTATTTGATAACTTTATATGGTTAATTGAGTTATTAACATGAAGGCTTTTCAGTCCGATTGAGCCATAAATCTGATTATAAACATATTATTTGGTTGCATGTAAACTTAGCTTGTAATGATACTGACTTCAGTGAATGGTTTAGTTCAGTTCATTTAGTGAAAGATTTGTCAAAACAATTCAAACACATAACTCATGAGTATGTGAGCCTAGTTGACTGATTCATTAAAAGAACTTACGAGTCATCAGTTTGTGAACTTGAGAAGAGAACACAAGGGAAAAAACATGTTGTCTTGGCATTATTCACATTTATCACATTAAATCAGATTGAGTCAGACTCACAACTCAGGTCAAATAAAAAAAAAATTGCTGTGGCGCTAAAGATTCAAAAAGGTGCAGGAAACACTGCAAAGTTTAAATAGCACCATGGTGTGTTTTGTAGGGAAAATCAACATAAAACGGTTTACTTATAGAAACATCTTTCTCAAATTATTCCTGTATCTCATTTGTTGACTGCATACTACTAAAATCAATCTTACTGAAGAGGCTGAAGAGGCTCCTAATTATACTAGAATATGTAAAAAAGTGTGTGATTTGCTTCCTTTTGGCCAGTAACATCAGAAAGTAATAAGCAGCCATTGTTCATATCAATTCTTCCAAGACAAATGCAATCAAGTTACCAATGGGAAAGCCTTCTGTGAAGGCCATCACACCTGTCTTCCAATCTATAACCCCTCTAGAGTCCAAAACCCCAAGGCAAAACCCAATCCCACATGACCCAGACGAGAACAGAACCCAAGACCGGCACTGGAACCAGACCACTCAAGTCCAGGATAAGACTATTTTATTCTGTCAAATCATCAAATCAAGCAAGTCCAATCCATTATTGACAACAATGATCATGAGTAAATTTTAAGTCCTGCCAAACATGGTAAAGTTTTGGTAAATTGTCATTACATTACAGCATCAGTTTTTGCAGAAACAGACATTGCAGCATGTGATTCTGGCAGGGCTCATGCTATTTACTTAATTGGAATAAAATAATCAAATGTTCAAGAAATGTGAGACACTGGTGTAATCTGTAGATCATGCGATTTGTGCCATTTTAATTACAGTTTGATTGAATGACACCAGCTGATCGGTGTTATTTTAAAAAAAAATGTCCCTTGTCCTGTTAACCATTCTATTAAAATGCATTCAAAGCCTTATTTAAATGTCTTGCCTAAGTAAATGACACACGGCTCTTCAAGAATTATGACAAAAATGTATTCATCCTCACGAACGATCTTAGCAAATTAAAGGAACAGTTAAATTTATTCAGCCTTATGGTGTTTAAAACCCAAATGATTTTCTATTTTCAGTAAAACAACAAACATTTTACAAACTGCAAATGACGCACAACTGTGACCTGTAGCTATCAAGCTCAGAAAAAGTACCATAAAGTAGGTGCATTCCATCTGTTCCGAAGCCATTACATCTTATAGATTTATGTGGGGAAAAGGGTGAAGTTATTCACTAAAAGTCTTCCCTATAGGTTTAACCTTTTTATGTTGTAAATACTCTGAATGTTCCCCCAGATGGAGTTTTGATGGCACATGAAATAAGTTTAAATAATACATAATCCATGATATAAAATAAACATATCATGTGCTTGAAATGCAACTTCAGTGGCAGCATGTCTCTCTCTGGATCAATGTGAAAGCCGTCATAAATTGTGAATATTAATGTCAAATGGTTAATGTCATTAAGATGTCTCTCAATTGATCTTAAGGTTTAAAAATATGGAGGTGTGAATGAGATTTGAGAGCTGTAGCAGGGATAGATTTCTGGAAATTAGCACTATCCATCTGTTCTGCATACAAATTTACTGTATGGTATGGCTTCAGAAGGCTTGTAATTTTGCACAAGAATGACTTGCTTTTATTGTGTTTTACGGAGATTGGGAGCCACTTGAATGCTTTTGTTGTACAGAAAGGAGCAACTTAAGTTGCCTTAGGCATTTCTATCTCTTTATATCGAAGTAATGGTTTGTAAATTTGTAGACTTTAATTTTGCATTAACTACAGTATTCTTTTAATGTTAGCATAGCTGGTTTAATCATGAAATTTCATTTTTAATTAAATCATATGAGGAGCATAAAGGTGCATTTCTATTCAGCATGTTCACATTTGACTGAAATCATTCTGAGAGGCAAATGGATTTACAGTCTGTGGAACGAGTCTGGCAGCCTCAGTTATTAAAGCACAACAACAGCAGCTTGCCTGAGAATGTCAGAATGGCATTATGCTGTTCTCTCGTTTTCCTCTGTCAAGGGCAGCAAACTGCGAGGGACACGGAGTCAGCAATATCATTATGAACATTATTCTGTCTGTGTCACTGCTGGGGTCGGTGGCTGAGCTCTGGGTCAATGCATTTGGCTAATGCACAGCAGAACAGTGCTGAAACCACGGAACTGTTAAGCCGAGTGAACTGAACAACACAACTAGCTTAACTTTATACCACGGCGATCAAATATACATGCGCACGCACGAGTTTAACGAGTTTACATTCTACAGTAAATGAAAATCTTTTCGCAAAGAAAAAAAAAACACTCGAAGAGCTGATTTAACTGTGAATGTTTCCCTTTGTTATCTATAGCACAAGTAAAATAGCAGTATAGTTACAGAATAAATGTAACGCGTAAACCACAGCACGCGACAGATTCACCCTCAAGCAAACTAACGTACTTTTTAGCTTTCAAACAGTCCTATAATAAAAGGTCACGACATTAACCATATATTTACCGCAATAATAATAGCGACATTTAAAGAAACGGAAGTTCTCTTACAAGGAATGTTGATTTTGTAGTTATTCCCCGCAAACCTGAGCCCGTCCAGTCGCATCTGCAAGCGAGTGGCTGGAAAAGCTCGCGCGCGTGTGCCTTCCCTCCGCGCGCACTCCAGCCGCTTAAAAAGTTTAATGACGTCAACCGGGCATTTAAAACGCCGCTTTTTTCATAGGAATGTACGACGTGCTCTCTGCCTTAAAGGGACCGCGCACCGTAAAGACCCATCACTGATGCTACGTTCAAGTCCTCCTGGGACGTTCGTACTTAAGAGTTGACAAGTCGTAATTACGACGTCAGGTGCGTTCAAGTCAGTTTAGTCGGTACAAGATGGCGGTGTACCTTCTTTTAATAAATTACAAGAAAATACAACAGGGTCTGTTAACTCTGCTTATAGAAAATGAAGAGCAAAGAATTCGCATCAGGTGTGTTTTGCGTTTTTAATATTTTTTAAAACATGCAACATGGCAAATCAAAAGATTTTTCACCTATAGGTGCAAAAATGATAGCATTTTTTTTTAACTTGGATTTCATTAACTAGCTGCATAACAAGAACATGACCAATTTAAGTTTATAGGACAACTAAACTATCAATTTAAACAAAAATGTACCGTCAACTACAGACCATGGATTCCGCCATGTTTCTCATTGACACGCCCCCAACTCGGAAACTCGGGCTTAAAGAAAATTTCGAGTTTCCCACTCGTAATAACGACTTTGTGGTGGCGTTCATGTGCGTTCAACTCTTAAATACGATCTATCCGACATGACTTGAAGGCACCATGAGACTGTATAAAATCAACTGAATTCAAAATCAATTGAATGTAGCGCATTCAATTTTGTCATCGTTTGCACACCTCATGTTTCTTCTGTGGAAACACAAAAGGACTGCTCAGGAACCATTCAGTCAAATTGGGCTTCTTGACACGTCTTAAAAATGCAGCAGTCATGATGTAAACAGTAAGAAGCAGCAAGAAGCAAAGGTAAGAAACAAAGGTCAAAGATGTCCATCTAGACAGGAGCATGCTGATACACCACCAATAAGAAGTAGGCTATTATCCACCTTATTAAGAACAGGCGCCATCATATTTTAATTTATTATAGAAATCATAAACACATTGGTTTGTAGCACAAATAGTATTTTTCCATTTACTGCACTTTGTTAATGAATTGTAAGTCTTGCACTTTCACAGGAAATAGCTTATGTCTGCCTTGAAGAATGAGGTGGATTAGTTCAGCAGTCAGAAAGAGCTTTATTGCCAAGTATGTTTGCACATACAAGGAATTTGTTTTAGTGTCACAAGCTTCCAGTACACAGAGACAACAACAACACACAGATAATAAAAATAAGATGTGAATAAAACAATATAGTTGCGATCCTGGGGCGAACATTTATGTGGGGTGTGCAAATAAGTCAAGATGATAAACTGTGAGATACTTAAAAATGTTGCAAGTTTGTTACTTGTTGGCCTTAAAGTGTTAATCCTCCCCAAAAAATACATTAAAAAAATGTATAATTTACACACCCTTCAAGTTATTCCGAACTTGTATGATTTTATTTCTTCTTGTGGAACTCAAAATTAGATATTTAAAAAAAATAATTTTCAGCTGATTGTCTGTGGATGTATTGGAGTGTGGTGGATTTGTAAGCATTTTATTTTGTTATATCACTGGAACGGAGAGCAGAGACTCTAGAGAGAAAATTGCTGCTCTATAACATGATCTACACTGATACACAACCACAGCGAATCCTCAGCAAAACTTCAAATTGCCTCTTGTTATATCACACACTAACAAAATGAGAACTCCTGCTCAACAATTCCTCTTTACCAGATATAGCCCTGCCACTAGATTCCTCATTTTCAACAGAATAAAGCTGTAGGGTCGAAATGGACCGTGACAAAAAAAGATGTGGAATATAAATTTTGCTTGCATATAGTTAACAAAATACCTGGTGTAATGCACGATTCAGCTGCATATTTTCCGAGATTTGTGATATCACAAATATCGACGAATGGGACGAGACATGGTTGAGCTGCACTAGAGAAGGCAACGAGTGTTATCACTATGTCGGAGACACGCTAGCTTTCCCAAGGCAGATGAACTTAAAGTGGTTACAATCATCCGGGTTTAAATCGCGCTCAAATTGATTTGATTTTGACGCAATATTTACACTGAAGCTCGCAGGTGGCTATGGTAAGGGGCATGACATTTCCCGACCAGGCGCCGAGGGATGCCAATCACAACACACACTCGCCCAACTAACCAATCACAACACACACTGGCCCAGCTAACCAATCACAACACACACTGGCCCAGTTAACCAATCACAGCACACACTGGCCCAGCTAACCAATCACAACACACACTGGTCCAGTTAACCAATCACAGCACACACTGGCCCAGCTAACCAATCACAGCACATTTCGTGTTTCAGAAGGCGGGCCTTCATTTTCATGCCAGACTGAGAGAGGTGTTGTAATAATGTAAAATATGCGAAAAAAAATTTGTTTTTCGAATAACCTAGTATGAGAGCCTGTTCTAGTACACCCCCAAAACAAAATCAAGACTTTGTAAAAGAGCATAATAGGACCCCTTTAAATAGTTAATCTAATCAATCAACACATGGTAGATCCTTATGCAATCTAGCAGCAACACTTACTGACTGGTAAGAGCGGCTGCTAATCAGAAACTGGGAGAGCAATCAGCGCGTGATCTCCCTTCACCTGCATCTGTGTGATGTCTTGATCTCCGTGCATCTGCGCCTGTTAATTTCTAGAATAAACAATCTCCGTCTCTGCCTGTGTGTCTAATCAATAATGTGTGCCATTCAGGCAGAATGTTCCAAAACCTGGATTCCATTTGTCATTTGTCAACCACAACATATTTGCAATCAATTTAACTTTCCGCTCCAAGAGAAAAGCATATGTTTACCAAGGCACTGCGCTCTCAAATGTTCAATGGGTTATGTCCCGAAATACTAATGTGTTTACATTTTTAAGCAAATATGTTAAGGAAATGTGTGTGATATAAAGGGGCGATTTAAGGAATGGAATAGTGATTGACAGCCTAATCCTGAGGGACTATGATATTTATGTGATAGCAAATGTGCAGTTGATGCATTTTTCTTGATTTGTCCATCTATCCATCCTGATTTACTCATCCAATACAACCTGCAAACCTACTTGCTGAAATGGTGTCATCCTGATTCTGTATGTTACGCAATAACATCATATCTGAAGCCATGAAAATGAATTGTGTGTATTCAATAGCCTGCAGAGCCTTAATCATTTCCTCTTTTCTTCTATTCCTTTTCTGTTTGGTTCTATTTTTATTTTTAGCACACAGCAGGTATAGGCTTTGTGTATGTGTTTGTATTTTTTTTCAATTATCTCCTGATGTTCAAGGACATCATTATTCATTAATTAGTTTAATGCATTAAAATGTGTTAAGACTCAAAATCTCTTTCTCAAATAAATAATAATAATCATAAATAATTGAAAATAATAAATAATAATTGATGATAATAATAATAAATCTCTAAATATCATTTAAGTGATTCGTTGAGTTGGACATACCAAAACAAAATGTCTAAATATTTTTAATATATTATTTGTTTATTTATATTTTTCCACAACAAATAAAGTATTTGAAAAATTATACACTTAAGATATACTTCATATTTTTGTCAAAATATTAAAAAAGTATATCTAATACTAAAAAAATATTTGAGTATGGAGAAATTATTTTGTTCAGTTTCAAGAGCAATTATTACTCATTACTCATCAATGTTCTTCATATACAGACGGTATGAGAGGAAATGTTGAAATTAAGTGTTATTTTTTGTGTTTTCACACAAAATTAATATAGAAAGAGATCTGTTAGAGTTTATGTTTGAATTTATGGGTCTGTTATGTGCTTAGGTAGAGGACAGGCCAAGAGACAGTGAGACTAACCTGCATGTCACCTAATATTACAAACAATAAATGTGTGCGTGTGTCTTTATGTTAATTATGTAGCATACATGTGTACTGTATGTGCATTATTGCCAGCTAATCATTAGCTGCTATTTTTAGTGGTTTCAGATTAATTAAGTTGATGAATATGGTTTTGAAGTTATCTTACTCAAATATGTACTCAAATGTAGTTATTTAGATGAGCTTTTTTTACTTACATTATTCAGTATGTAAGTGATTTTACAGTTTTAGAATATACTCATTATTTTTAAGTTTAAAAATGTTTCACAAAAAAAAAATAATAATTGAGTACATTACAGTTTAAGTTTATAAATAAGTTGCAGAAAGCATTTTGAATATGTTCAATAGGTTGGGCCAAGAATGACAATGAACTCCTCCCTTCTCTTTTCCCATTATCAAGTAGAGTACAATTTCTAGCACCTCACACTAATTTTTGCTCTTTGTTAGTAAAAGCAGGTGTGACTTAATTAAACAGCAGCTGAGAGTTTTAATGCTAAATGAAACTGAAACTGAAATGATATGAGAGAAAGTTAGAAAATCAATATGCAAAATGCTACATTCCAACCATTTAGAATTTTATTATCAAAACAATATGGTATATTTTGCTGCTAAGTGCTGATGATCTATATACATATTAAACATATATTATGTATTTTATCATTTATTGCCTGTAATAAAGTCTTATACACTGGGTAACAAAAAAAATCAGCCAACAAACAGATAATGTCCCAGCATAAAATTACCAGTACATGTTTCCTTCAACCTTAAAATACAACACAATGCAATGGATAATTCAAAATATGGGTAAAACACCTGTAAAAATGAATACAGAAAATTCCTTTATTCCTTCAATGGTACATTGAGCCGCATGTGCTTTGTTTTCCCCTTTGCTAAACCACACCTACCAGATGCATTGTGAAGTGCATCAACTATTTGTGCCACATGACTTGAGTAACCAATCAATCAAGAGAAAGCAGAATTGGTGGTGTGTAACCTTATATATCTGCATACTTTCAGTGTTTTGTCCAGTATTAACAGGAAAAATGGTTGATAGTTTTAATTTCATGTGGTCCTACCTATGAATAAATACGATAATCACATCCTCATGTCTGTAATGGCCTCACATAGTG